ATTGCAGTGTCGAGAAGATCCCAATCGGCACTGTCGGGTTGTTTATCAGCCGATGTTCGAGCTGCTCTCTGAAAGCATATGCTACCGCTGGATCCTCCAAATGTTTAGTGTTAAAACCTCTTCTGGAGGCTTCTTGTCTTCATCGTTTTGGGGCAACGTGAAGTGGGAGCTTGGCTCTGACAAGTCGATGATCAGTGTCGCAGTGGGCTGACCCACACTGTACCACTCTACCACTCTCACCACTGTACTACTGTAGCGCTGTATCACCCACATCACTGTTCCACTGTAACACTGTACCGCCCACACCATTGTACCACCAGCACTACTGTAACACAAACAGTGTACCACCCATACCACTGTACCATTGTACCTCTCACACCACTGTACCACTGTAACACTGTACCACCCACACCACTGCACTACTTAACACTGTACCACCCACACCACTGTATCACTGACACCACTGTTCCACTGTAATACTGTACCACCCACACCACTATACCAATTTAAAACTGTACCACTCACACCACTGTATCACTCACTCCACTGTACCACTGTAACACTGTACCACCCACACCACTGTACCAATGTAACACTGAACCACCCACACCACTGTACCACTGTAACATTGTACCACACACACACACCATTGTACCACTGTAACACTATACCACCCACACCACTGTAACACTGTACCACCCACACCCCTGTAACACTGATCCACCAATAGCACTGTACCAATGTAACACCTTACCAATCCCACCACTGTACCACTGTAACACTATACCATACAGAACCATTGTACCACTGTAACACTGTACCTCCCACTTCATTATATCACTGTAACACTGCACAATACAGCACCACTGTACCACTGTAAAATTGTACCATACAGCACCACGTTACCATTGTAACACTATACTACTGTAGACTGTACCACTGTAACATTGTACCACTGGAACTCTGTACCACTGTAACACTGTACCACCCACACCACTGTACCACTGTACCACCCCCACCACTGCACCACTGTAACATTGTACCACCCACACCACTATACTACTGTAACACTGTACCAACCACGCCACAGCACCACTGTACCACTGTAACATTGTACCGTAAAGCACCACTGTACCATTGTAACACTGTAGCACTGTACCATACAGCACCACTGTACCACTGTAACACTGTACAATACAGCACGCCTGGCTGGGTGTTGGGCTAGAGGTAATCACGTTATACTTCTCGTCACTGATTGGTCCACTTGGGGTTGACCTCCTGATGGGGCAGCCAATTGGTGGTCGACAATGATTGCTGCACCTTCTTCAGTTGCGCTGATGGTGCTGACAGCTAATGGTGTTGACAGATGATGGTTCTGACAGCTGATGGTGTTGACAGAAGAAGGTGCTTACAGATGATGGTGTTGACAGCTGATGGTTCTGACATCTGATGGTGTTGACAGAAGGTGCTGACGGGTGATGATGCTGACAGCTGACGATGCTGACAGCAGGTGGTGCTGACAGGTGATGGTGCTGACAGGTGATGGTGCTGAGAAATGGTGGTACTGACAGCTGGTGGAACTGACAGCTGGTAGAAACCAACAGCTGGTGGTGCTGACAGCTGGTGGTCCTGACAGCTGATGGTGTTGATAGCTGATGGTGATGACAGCTGGTGGAACTGACAGCTGGAGGAACTGATAGCTGGTAATGCTGACAGCTGATGGTGCTGAAAGCTGGTGGTCCTGACAACTGGTGGTGATGATAACTGGTGGTGATGATAGCTGGTGCTGCTGACAGCTGGTGGTTTCTGACAGCTGGTGGTGCTGACAGCTGGTGGTGCGCTGACAGCTGGTGGTTTCCTGACAGCTGGTGGTGCTGACGGCTGGTGATAATGGTCACTGGTGGTGCTGACAGCTGGTGGCGCTGACAGCTGGTGGTGCTGACCTGGTGATAATGGTCACTGGTGGCGCTGACGGCTGGTGGTGCTGACGGCTGGTGATAATGGTCACTGGTGGCGCTGACGGCTGGTGGTTGCTGACGGCTGGTGATAATGGTCACTGGTGGCGCTGACGGCTGGTGGTGCTGACAGCTGGTGATGATGATAACTGGTGGTGATGATGGCTGGCTGCTGACGGCTGGTGGCGCGCTGACAGCTGGGGTGCGCTGATGACGGCTGGTGGTGCTGACGGCTGGTGGTTTGACGGCTGGTGGTGCTGACAGCTGGTGATAATGGTCACTGGTGGTGCTGACGGCTGGTGGCGCTGACGGCTGGTGGTGTGACAGCTGGTGATAATGGTCACTGGTGGCGCTGACAGCTGGTGGCGCGCGACAGCTGGTGGGCTGACAGCTGGTGATAATGACCACTGGTGGCGCTGACAGCTGGTGGTGCTGACAGCTGGTGGTGCTGACAGCTGGTGATAATGGTCACTGGTGGCGCTGACAGCTGGTGGTGCTGACAGCTGGTGGTGCTGACAGCTGGTGGTGCTGACAGCTAGTGATAATGGTCACTGGTGGCGCTGACAGCTGGTGGTGCTGACAGCTGGTGATAATGGTCACTAATGGTGCTGACCTTCCCTAACGTTTAGTGGCTTCAAATACATAATTATAAAGTCGTCGGCTAGTTCTATGTGTGACAACCTTGGCACAGTTACCATCACCCTGTTGTAGTTGCCGTCACCCTGTTGTAGTTGCCGTCACCCTGCTGTAAGTTGCCATCATTCTGCTGTAGTTACCATCACCCTGCTGTAGTTACCATCACCCTGTTGTCGTTGCCGTCACCTTGCTGTAGTTACCATCACCCTGCTGAAGTTGCCGTCATTCTGCTGTAGTTACCATCACCCTGTTGTCGTTGCCATCATTCTGCTGTAGTTACCATCACCCTGCTATAATTGCCATCATTCTGCTTGTAATTACCCTCTGCCCTGTTGTCGTTGCCGTCACCTTGCTGTAGTTACCATCACCCTGTTGTCGTTGCCATCATTCTGCTGTAGTTACCATCACCCTGTTGTCGTTGCCATCATTCTGCTGTAGTTACCATCACCCTGCTGAAGTTGCCGTCATTCTGCTGTAGTTACCATCACCCTGTTGTCGTTGCCGTCACCTTGCTGCATTTAACATCACCCTGCTGAAGTTGCCGTCATTCTGCTGTAGTTACCATCACCCTGCTGAAGTTGCCGTCATTCTGCTGTAGTTACCATCACCCTGTTGTCGTTGCCGTCATTCTGCTGTAGTTACCATCACCCTGTTGTCGTTGCCGTCACCTTGCTGTATTTAACATCACCCTGCTGTAGTTGCCGTCATTCTGCTGTAGTTACCATCACCCTGTTGTCGTTGCCGTCACCTTGCTGTATTTAACATCACCCTGTTGTCGTTGCCGTCATTCTGCTGTAGTTACCATCACCCTGTTGTCGTTGCCGTCACCTTGCTGTAGTTACCATCACCCTGCTGTAGTTGCCGTCATTCTGCTGTAGTTACCATTGTTACGACCCTAGGGTAGATCGTTACATAAACACAAATCACTTAAGTCTTTCAAATATATCAGTATTATTTATTATATTATCAATCCCAAGTTCTCCCAACAAAGGTCAATTTAACAGGTCAACAAGTCAATAATATATGAACATTTATTAACTTACTCCCACCACCAAATATGTACATAAAATAAAATAAATAACAATAATAATAAGATAAGATGTTTGGAACTGGCAGAGTAAGGACTGAAGATCCATCAAGATCACACAAAATCAATATCAAGCAAAATAAAATCTCAATAGTCATATGCCATCTCCCAAAACACCAGAGAGAGGTATACTACTTAACTTAAGACAGCTGTGCCTGGACTGACTAGAGTGTACCAGTAGGTCACCGACGTTACCTCTCTACCGCCAAACACTGACGTAACATAATTATCCTAATTGGCCAAAACATAAACGTTATATAAATTACCTTACTGACGTTAATTCCACTTATCTAACCTATATACAAACATAATACAATAAATACACAATGTAATAAACAAATTTATTACTTAAATGATGACTCAGTCAGTGTGGGCGAGTAATGAGTGAAACTGCTCAAGCCAACCACACACCATCCGAACCAACATATTTCATACCCAGAACAGAAACTTATGGCGGACACACGTAACATCCACCAACCTGCTGCAGTTGCCGAAACCCTGCTGTAGTTGTCATTATTCTGTTGTAGTTACCACCACCCTGCTGTAGTTGTCATTATTCTGTTGTAGTTACCACCACCCTGCTGTAGTTGTCATTATTCTGTTGTAGTTACCACCACCCTGCTGTAGTTGTCATTATTCTGTTGTAGTTACCACCACCCTGCTGTAGTTGTCATTATTCTGCTGTAGTTACCACACCCTGCTGTAGTTGTCATTATTCTGCTGTAGTTACCACCACCCTACTTTAGTTGTTATTATTCTGCTGTAATTTTATCACCCTACTGCTAGTTGTCATTATTCTGCTGTAGTTACCACCACCCTGCTGTAGTTGTCATTATTCTGCTGTAGTTACCACCACCCTGCTGTAGTTGTCATTATTCTGTTGTAGTTACCACCACCCTGCTGTAGTTGTCATTATTCTGTTGTGGTTACCACCACCCTGCTGCAGTTGTCATTATTCTACTGTAGTTACCACCACCCTACTTGGTTGTTATTATTCTGCTGTAGTTACCATCACCCTGCTGTAGTTGTCATTATTCTGCTGTAGTTACCATCACCTGCTAGCATTTGTCATTATTCTGCTGTAGTTACCCACCACCCTGCTGTAGTTGTCATTATTCTGTTGTAGTTACCACCACCCTGCTGTAGTTGTCATTATTCTGCTGTAGTTACCACCACCCTGCTGTAGTTGTCATTATTCTGTTGTAGTTACCACCACCCTGCTGTAGTTGTCATTATTCTGTTGTAGTTACCACCACCCTGCTGCAGTTGTCATTATTCTGCTGTAGTTACCACCACCCTACTTTAGTTGTTATTATTCTGCTGTAGTTACCATCACCCTGCTGTAGTTGTCATTATTCTGCTGTAGTTACCATCACCCTGCTGTAGTTGTCATTATTCTGATGTAGTTACCATCACCCTGCTGTAGTTGTCATCATTGTGCTGTAGTTACCACCACCCTGCTGTAGTTGCCATCACCCTGCTGTAGTTGCCATCACCCTGCTGTAATTGTCATCATTCTGCTGCAGTTGCCATCACCCTGCTGTAGTTGTCGTCACCCTGCTGTAATTGTCATCATTCTGCTGTGATTTGCCGTCACCCTGCGCCTTGGTGCCATCACCCTGCTGTGAATTGCCCATCACCCTGCTGTAGTGTCATCATTCTGCTGCAGTTGCCCTCACTACTGTGAATTTGTCGTCACCCTGCAGTGTCATCATTCTGCAGTTGCCACCACCCTGCTGTAGTTGCCCGTCACCCTGCTGTGGTGCCATCACCCTGCTGTAGTTGCCATCACCTGCTGTAATTGTATCTCATTGTGCTGTAGTGCACCACCCTGCTGTAGTTGCCATCACCCTGCTGTGGTGCCATCACCTCTTATTGTCATCCCATTCTGCTGCAGTTGCCATCACCCTGCTGTGATTGTCGTCACCCTGCTGTGATTGTCGTCACCCTGCCCAGCCCAGTTGTCATCACCCCTGTTAGTGCCATCACCCCTGCTGTGATTGCATCACCCTGGTGGTTGCATTCACTTTCTGCTGCCAGTTACCATCACCTGCTGTGAATTTGCCCGTCACCCTGCTGTAGTTGCCGTCACTGCCTGCTGTGGTTGCCGTCATTCTGCTGTAATTTGCCGTCATTCTGCTGTAGTTACCCGTCACCCTACTGTGGTGTCGTCACCCTACTGCCAATTTATTTCACTCTGCTGTAGTGGCCGTCTCCCTGCTGTAATTTGTCATCACCTACTGTAGTTGTCGTCACCTGCTGTGGTGCCGTCACCCTGCTGTAATTTGCCGTCACCTTGCTGTGGTGTCGTCACCCCTGCTGTAGTGCCGTCTCCTGCCTTGGTGTCGTCACCCTGCTGCTTGGTGTCGTCACCCTGCTGTAATTGCCGTCACCCTGCTGTAGTTACCCATCACCCTGCTGTTGTTGCCCATCACCTGCTGCCAGTTGCCGTCACCCTGCTGTAGTTGTTTCACTCTGCTGTAGTTGCCGTCACCCTGCTGTAGTTGCAGTCATTCTGCTGTAGTTGCCGTCACACTACTGTAGTTGCCGTCACCCTGCTGTAGTTGTCGTCACCCTGCTGTAGTTGTCGTCACCCTGCTGTAGTTGTCGTCACCCTGCTGTATTTGCCGTCACCCTGCTGTAGTTGCCGTCACCTTGCTGTAGTTGCCGTCACCTTGCTGTAGTTGTCGTCACCCTGCTGTAGTTGCAGTCACCCTGCTGTAGTTGTTGTCACCCTGCTGTAGTTGTCATCATTCTGCTGAAATTACCATCACCCTTCTGTAGTTGTCATTATTCTGCTGTAGTTACCACCAACCTGCTTTAGTTGTCATTATTCTGCTGTAGTTACCACCACCCTGCAGTAGTTGTCATCACCCTTCTGTAGTTGTCGTCACCCTGCTGTAGTTGTTGTCACGCTGCTGTAGTTGCTGTCACATTGCTGTAGTTGCCTTCAACCTGATGTAGTTGTCATTATTCTGCTGTAGTTACCACCACCCTGCTGTAGATACCATTATTCTGCTGTAGTTACCACCACCCTGCTGTAGTTGTCATTATTCTGCTGTAGTTGCCTTCACCCTGATGTA